TAACAACAAAATCTCGAAAGGTACCATTTTTGTATTCAAGAAAATGACAAAATATTTTCCGTGCGAAACAGAATACGACTTTCAGGTACACAAAAAATAACGTTAAGTCTTTTGTACGGCTTCCAAATATGATTTGTGCAATAGTCCAAGTATCGTAGATGTTTTTAAGTTTTTTATCTATGTTCTAGCATAGCTAGAAAGGCAGAAATCCGAGTTTTTCGAAGAGGTGTATTTTCGCCGCCGTACCTCCAATGGCGGCCTTCAATTTGGCTTCAAAGATGGCGGCCGAGTTATCGTTCCAGTCTTATTAGAGTTCACTGGTCCCCTATCGTTGCGAGTTGCATGAAAATCACTGCAGCGTGTAACACCTCTTGCAAAGCATTATCAAAATCGTTTTTTAAACATTGCGAGACAAGTTGCATGAAAAATTGCAGCCTGTAACGGAAGCCTCACATATCGATTTTTTCCACGAGAAACGTCATATGTTCGTTGGGATTGCACCTGTGACGTCTCTGTAAACATCATGGAAAAATTTGTTAGTTTTTTCGAAAGCCTTAACATTTCGGAATCATCTTTGCAGAGTATAAAAAAGACTGAAATGGCAACTTGATACAAACACCGTACTAGTCTATGCATTCGCAATACCATGAGAATGCCATTTCCAACGATCTAGAGACTCCATATTTTCAAAATTTTCGGCTCGGCGCCAACCATGGTGGGTGGCGCCTCGTGTACCCCTCAAAGCGAGATCTCACAGATGTTTTTTTTTGCCAAAGTTGGCAACTATAGTATGTATCTAGGACAGGACCCCAAAATCGCTATATTGAAATAACAACCAAACCTCATACCCAGGGTATTATTTCTCAGACTCTACTTATCGTAGGCAGGGAAGACCTTAAGGGTTTCTTGTGCGCGTGTGTGCGTGTCCAGGGGGAGAGATGCAAGAAACAGCTATGGAATCTCTTTTCGCACCCACAGCAAGTAGCCTCCAATTATTATGCTTTTTGTCCCCCTGAGTTATCTGCTATAAATTAATTTAGTATAATTACATAGGTGATTATTGAAAATTCTCCACGCTGATTGGTTACCGTTGAGGTGATTATTACGCGATAATCACCTAAACGATTTTCAAAATGGCGGCCGAAGCGAAGAAATGTGCATTTTAATTTTTTTTCCCAAATAATCACCCATGAAATTATACTAAAACAATTATTCACCTCAGGCTCGGTGATTATCGTGAATAAAAACCTTGACTTCGTCTCGGTTTTTATTCACCGATAATCACCTCGCCTTCGGCGACTAATTGTTAAATAATGTGTTTCAATACTAGACTTCAGATGTTAATTACCAAGTAAATCGGTCAATTTTGATAAAAAAATTGAAGGAAAAATGGAAGGATATTTAGAGATTTTTGGAAGGAAATCTTGCTGGCAAAAAGGAAATTTTGGGTTATGGAGAAGGAAATTATTATTTTGGGAGTGGAAACACTGGGTTAGGTATAAACTGTTGCAATTTGTATTCTTTTGTCAAGGTGAGACAACTACGATACTATAATTGTGTATTTAGTAAGTATTTTATGTTGAAATTTAGCTAAATGGAAAAATATATAGCCAAGAAAAATGTCAGATTCGACTTCTTGTCGTTCATGTCCTCTAATTGACAGTATTATGGCATTTATTGGGACAAACTTGATTCTGGTGTAGCCTGAAATGTCAGGCGTTCTGCCCGCTTGAACACGGGGAGAGACTGATGTCTCTGAGTCTCTCCCCGTGTTCAAGCGGGGAGAACGCCTGACATTTCAGGCTAGATTCTGGTGCTGCAGATCAGTAGTCATCATGCAGATAGCCTGCATAGTAGGCGCTATTTAGGGGGTAGGGCAAGGGTGGGAGAAGCTAGTGGGGGGATGCGAAGGCGAGAGAAAGAGCGAGAAAAAATGGGAGGGGCAAGAAAGAAATAGCTATTTCTTTCTCGCCCCTCCCATTTTTCCTCGCTCTCTTTCTCTCGCCTTCGCACCCCCCCCCTAGCTTCTCCCACCCTCCCCCTCCCCATTAAATAGCGCCTGCTACGCAGGCTATCCATGCAGATGCTGCAGCTTTTCATGTAGGTGGCTCATCTGATATAACCGACATAGACATAGACGCAGTATTATGAACCCCAATTTACAATTATATTATTTACATAATATTATTAGTATTATTTTGAATTTTTATGCAATACGGTGTGATGCACTCAAGTGTAGATATATGTTTGTGATGTTACTCTGAATGTGTCCACACCGGGCAAGCTGAAAAATCAACTTGGCTGCGGCGGGAATCGAACCCACAACCTTTGGTTTGCCAGTTCAATGCTCTACCAACTGAGCTATGAGGTCGAGTCGGTTCGAGTGTGTGATATTTCGTGTGATATGTTTGTGATATTACTCTGAGTGTGTCCACAGCGGGCAAGCTGAAAAATCAACTTGACCGCGGCGGGAATCGAACTTACAATCGACCTTTGGTGCCAGTCCAATGCTCTTAACCAACTGAGCTCAATTGGTAGAGCATTGGACTGGTAAATCAAAGGTTGTGGGTTTGATTCCCGGCGCGGTCAAGTTGATTTTTCAGCTTGCTCGGTGTGGACACATGCACTCAGAGTACATCACAAACATTAGTATTATTTGTTATAGAATCAGGCTAAATAAGATCGAATGCCAGGGAGCCAATTGCACTATTATTTCATTCTCAAACTGAAGCAATTGCACTATTATTTCATTCTCAAACTGAAAAATTTATATGTAACACATCAGCATGACCTGGTGGCAGTGGGTTGATCTGAGTGGCTGTATAGAGGTGAGATGAAAGAGGAGTTCCTCTCAGAAAATTACTCACTCACAGAAAATCGTAGCTTACACAGTTAGCAACCATCCTATAAATGTATCTGTCGGTTGAATACAATTAAATACAATTATCATTGATGCTGTAAAATTGACGCCATATTTGTACAGCAATATAACCAAAACTTACTAAAATTCAGACATCATTTTCTGTTTGGCGTACCATCTAAAATCTCTTCATTTTAGCATTATTTTACAGATACAGTAATTAAAGCACTAAACATTTTTGCACTAAGTTTGTTTGCCGCTTGAGAAACATCAAAAATTTAAAAATTTGAATATAGTCATAACCACGTGGAAAAGTATATTCATTGGTTTTGAGCGTGTGTTATGTAATATACAAAATATTCTCCCCATCTTCTCCTAATATTCTTACCTTAACAATTCCTAAAAAACCTGTCGACAAGGGAGGGGGGAGAAGAGGGGAGATAGGGGGTTGGTTTGCAAATATTCATGCAAAATTTTGTTTCCTACCCAAAATATTCATATTCCTACCCAAAATATTCATATTCCTACGTTGTATTCAATATTCAGTATTCATCTTCCACCCCAATGGAGCATCCACAACTGCTAATCAAAGCACACCACGTCCCCTACCCAGCTACTCCTGATCAATGCGCAGGGCGCAGGGACAACTGACAAGGGGATCTTAAATTTGTTCAGATTGGGTCATTTCATATAAGATCAAAACTCATATCCTGATGGAGAAAATTGTTTTTGTCCAGGGAGGGTGAAATCTACCTCTGATAATAATAAAATACACCAGGAATTCTAATAGGGTGAGGACCATTACTTCCTGGGGGAGGTGGGGAAGTGTTCTGAAATGTTTTTCAGAATGTGTTTAGTAATCCAATTTTTTGTCATGCAAAAAAATTGCATTACTAAATTTTGGCTTAAATATTATAGAGTCCAACAGAAATTCTTAAAGAAATTTATAGAAATCCTGTGGATTAAATTATTTCCTATTAATAGAATTCCTACACTATATTTATTCAGACTAATAGATGTTTACGATCAAATAAATGCCCCTTCAAGTACTTACGCAAATTTGTATTAAACTCCTCTCTCTAATAAACGCCCCCTCTAACAAATGCCTCCTTTCCTGAAGACAAAATTCCAAAAGTCAATGTTTCATACTTTAATGTTTTATTCTTACATCAAAACTGCAATATATTTTGCTGCATTATGTGAACACTTGTGTGAATTGTTTGCATATTTTGTATTTTTGAGGTTATATGACCTTTTGAAATAAATGCCTCTCCCTAATAAACGCCACTTTCTAAAATAATTTTTAAATAAATGCCCAGGGCATTTATTAGAATAAATGTGGTAGAGGATTTACACCTATTAGATTACCTGAACAAAGTTGGTCCCTAAATGCTTAAATGTGCCAAGAATGTATAATAACCATACAGACAAAGAAAACCAGTCAAGTCATGGATATTTTTATTAAGTTTAATTATAAATTGGTAAAGTAGCAATCATTGTTTTAAGATTCAGTAAAACATGTGACATATGTAAAAACCTGTTGCTAGAATTGATTTTTATCCAGTGGCAGGTTGCATTTAATTTTGTGTAACCAGTCACAAGAACAAAATTGTACCACCTGCTACTTGCCCCATTGTTATAGTTAGAGCAGCTTGGGCAAAATTAAAATTGACTAATCAAAGAATGTCAATTGACAAATTACAGTTCTTGTCTCAACGACTTGTTATCTGGAGAGTTGTTTTGTATGACTTTTCTCACAAGACAAGCCCCTACGACCAGTCTCTGCAACTTGTTGCCTGATGTGATTTGACCTTTATTGTGTGAAGTTGTCTTAATGGGCAATAAAAGGTTGGATTTGATAAGTTACATGGACATCCTCCTGGGCAAAGTTGAAGGCTCGCATTCATCTGACATAATTTGTGTTTTATATTGGGAAATGTCCAGTGTCTAGCGGGCTATGTTTGAAGGGTCTTGGATTAGGTACACAAGGAACTCTTTTGTGCTACTCCATTAGTCTTGGCATACATCAGTCAGAAGCAACAGGACAGCAAGCGGTCATTACTTCAAGAAAAATGAGAAGCAGCTTTAGCTAAGGCAATGAATTATACAATCTAAGTTTAACTCTTTAAGTGGCAATGCACCCTAGGGTGCAACCATCCTGCAACCCCCACCCTTGATATGATGAAAGCACTTCCCATTAAAGGCACAGTGTCAGCTGCTGGGCGATGTTGCTTAGTCAGCACTTTTTCAATTTTTTTTCATCTGTGCAAAGAAGTCTTGATATTATATAGACAGCGAGCCAACCTCGAAAAGAGTGACTGTGGATGGCATTTTTTGTTACAAGCAAAAAACCACACAAAATGTTCACTTTGGAAGGAAGAGTTGTTGCCTTACGTATTTTAATTCTATTTATGTACCGAAATTGGAATGTTTTTATAACAAACATTTCGATGGATGGGATTTCTGTGAAATGCAGTATTCGATATTACAATTTTCTTATAATTGGGTAACGGTTTAATTAACATTAAATATCTGGTTATCTTAATTCCCATAACTCAAACTGATCTTCCAATGAGAAACATGGTATTAATTATTAGTGCGCTTGTTAAAATACCTGTATGAAGGTGAGTTTGAAAGTAGAGATGATTAATGAGAACGAGTGATTACCCAAAAGTTTAAATTCGTAAATTATAGCGTTTCATTTTAAATATTTAACGATATCGAAGATCTATGTATTGTAATAAAACTACGCTTTTGCGCCAGCGTACTATTTTTCATCCATATACAGGCCAAAACTCTACTGGTTTAACGGCAATATTATAACAAATTATCATTGTGTGCATGCAGTTCCATACTACCCCCTCCTCCCACTTTTACTACCCTCGCGACACCAGTATTGATTGAAAGAATATCAAGAAACAATAGTGAATTTAGATGTTATTTACCCAAGAATACCTACCAGAAAATGCAGGAAATGTAGTCAAAAATTTTCTTGGGGAGATACCCTAACCCCAAAATGGCAATGGATACTTTGCAATTATGTAATAACCTATACACCATTTTTGGTAGATTTCCAAACAAATTTGGATATAAAAATATATATTCTTTCTTTGTTTTTTTAGTGTGTCTGAAAAGCCACTCCCGAAATGAGACTTTGCAATGCTTTACATTTCTATAGGCCATTCCAAAACATTAGAGGAAAGTCGATACCAGAACAGAGGGCGCACATCCAAAGATTTTTTGGGAGGTGTCCTCTGTTCTGGTATCGACTTTCCTCTAATATTTTGGAATGGCCTATAGAGATGTATATCGTGATACACGGATGGCAACCGAGCTTGCAATATTGACTGGTCTGTTATCCAAACATTTGTTGTTGTTGCTTGCTTGCTTTTAACAGAAAGTATACAGCTTGTTTTGGCTTCTTTGTGCAATGTCGTATTTTGATGTATATACACATGTTAGTTAGATGGTCAGCCATTTAAAATAAACACCGATGTGAAATACAGCACTTGAGAGAAATCCCATCCATCGAAATGTTTTAGGAAATACCTTGAAATTTTAGCACATAAATAAAAGATTACGGTTGACAACCACTCTCACTTTCAAAACAACCACTATCCGATGATATTTTGCATGGTTTTATGCTTGTAACAAAAAATTCCATCGACAATGTTTTGTAGACACTTTTTGGTCATCTAAATAATATGGCTCATTTGGGCTCATTATATAATAAAAGTTAGTTCAACTTACCCCGAATTTTCAATTATTTTGTGGTTATCCATTTAGTACGTGCGCAACTAAGGAAGAAGTGAGATTCGGGATTTTTGCGGTTTTAATGTTTTAAAGACGTCACTTCTATTGTTCTTTTCGTGCAATGGGGAGGGAGGGATACAATTTTCGAATTTTTTTGCGTGCGTATTAAATGGATGGCCCCTTCAAATAAATTTATTAAAATAATTTTACCTTTGGTCCTTCTGTGGCCCTCTCGACATAATAAATAATATCAAATTACATATTGTGTGATAACATTAAAGTCACATTGCTCAGTAGGTGACACTATGCCGCCAGTTACTTGACCTCTGTAAAGTATAATTGGTCGAAATGTGATATTGCTAAAGTTGTATATTTGGGGCAACAGACGGACTGGTTCTACTCAGGTGTATTTGATAATTCTGTAGATACACAAAGTCAGGAATTATTGAATAAGATCTTGAATATTGTTGATAACTCTGTGCCAACTATTAAGCTAAAAACTACGAAGGAAGGAATTCCAATCAAGAAAGCGCCTTGGGAATGCTCTAGACTTCAGCATTCTAGGAAAGCAAAAGATAAAGCTTGGCACTGTTTTGATACGTCCCCCACACATTACAATCTTATGTCTGCTATTGAGGCTCGAGATCAATATAAGACTATAGAACGGGAAAGTAAGGAAAGTTATGAGATAAAATTGGCTAAAGGAATAAAGTACAATTCTAAGCAGTTCTATGCATACTTACGTACTAAGAAAAAGTCCAATCCTACTGTATCTAAGTTGAAAAAGCCTAATGGAGAATTTACAACTAGTGTAAAGGAGTCTGCTGATTTGCTTGTCAAATCTTTTGCAACTGTTTTTACAAACGAGGCTTCACTCACTCGCGATTGTAACATGGATATTATCGCTGTTAAACAATTTGATCCACTAATAATTAGTGACTATGATGTGAAAAATGAGCTGCTGGCTCTAGATGTCTCAAAGTGTGCTGGGCCAGATGGAGTTCATCCAAAAATTGTCAGAATTTTAGCGGGAAATGATAATTTTGTGAGTGCCGTAACAGCTTTATATAGATCTATTTCAGACGTCAGACAATTCCCAGAAGCTTGGAAGAGAGCAATTATAATTGCATTACATAAAATGGGGGCATTTAGTGATGCTGGAAATTATCGACCAATTTCTTTAACTTGCATCCTATGTAAAGTGTAGGAAAAGCTTTTGTTTAAACATATGTACAGTCATGTTAAGGGATTTATTAGTCGGAATCAGCATGGGTTTATGGAAGGGAAGTCTTGTCTCTGTAACTTGTAGGAATCACTACAATATATTATCACGTTTTTGGATAGTGAAGATCCTGTTGATCTTATATATTTGGATTTTCAAAAAGCTTTTGATAAGGTGGCACACGAAAGATTGTTGTTAAAGTTAGAAAGTTACGGAATTACTGGGCAGGTTCATGACATTATAAGGAACTTCCTGACAGGTAGATCAATGGCAGTACGTGTGGGAGATCATATTTCATCATGGGAGCCTGTTACTTGGAATTTTGGAATTTTACTGTCACACGCACTCCGATAAACAAGTGTTCCGGTCAGTGTGGTTGGTGAAGCCAAGCCCAGGAGGTCGTAGATTCGTGCCAATTTTGACAAGATGCTTCTCTTAGTTACAGGTTCAGCGTCTGTGGTGAGGGTCACGCTAATAGTATCGTGCTTCCTATCCCAGGGCACACCAAGTAGTTTCCCATCGGGCTGTTCGATCCCTGCAAGTTGACTTTTGGCATATGTTAGTTCACTTATCTCTGATGACGATTGATTCTTTGGCTCGAGTTCAGGTACGTTTGAGTGCCACTTGTGTATTGTGAAAGTGGCATCGTCGAAAACTTCGATAGTTTTCTCCTTCTGAGTCTGTATTTCTGCGACTGTGGTACCCCCCGTAATCAAATCATCAACATACAGTCCTTCGCGTAATTGCTTCACTATCTCGGGATAACGATCTTCCCAAGCATCCAGATGGTGTTTAAGGACTCCCCCGAGAAGGAATGGGGAGCAAGTCAGCCCAAACAGGGCTCGAGTAAACCGGTAGATTTGTATTGCATCGTTCCCAGTCTCTTTCCAGTGAAATCGCAATGAATCTCGATCTTCGGCCTTTATTCTGATTTGCAAAAAGGCCTGTTTCAAATCGCCTGTTAACAGAATGGGGTGAAATCTAGATCTAACAAGGACGTCCCATAACAGGTTCTGGAGAGGGGGGCCCGGGTGGAGGCAATCATTGAGGGATGGTTGGGATCCGCTCTCTTTCGCAGACGCATCATACACCACTCTCAACTTAGTGGTCTCAGCTTGCTTCCTTTCTATGCCTTTGTGGGGAATATAAAATTCTTTTGCTGTTTTAGTGGTAGGTGCCAGCTCAATTACTCCCTGATTTAACTGTTGTTGTATAATGTCATTATACTGTTTGTACTGTCCGTTCCGTTCAAGTTTCTTAAGCAACTGCTCTAGGCGACGCTTGCTACTGTTCTCATAAGTTGGCAGTGGGGGGTGATTCCCTTTCCATGTTAATGATGTCTCATACCAGCCCGCTTGATCTCTACTAAGCTGCTCTTCAAATTCCTCATACACAGTTTTCTGATCATTTTCATTTTTGTCCGGAAGTCCGAGGACATCTAATGCACATAACTGCTCATAATCTATAGTAGTGGATTGAGTTAACAGGATGGGACCCTCCTCCTTCCCTGGAGACATCACCGTCCAACCAAGGAGGGTTCTCTCTGCCACAGGCTTCCCCACCTTTTGAGCCGTAGTGGTTTTAATTTTGGCATAATCACTAGCCCCAAGCACAAGGTATACAGGTATTTGTGTACGGGTGTCAGGATCTTCGAATTTTGCACCGTTCAAATGTTTGTATCTCTCTAACAGGTGGGCATAATTTGGGTTGTTGAGTTTCATTAGCTCAGGTTTATCAACTTTTGACATTTCAATTTCAAGCTCAAATTTCTGATCTAGGGATTTTATGCTGGCTGCATAAATTTCTACTCTGGTGGTGGTGGATCCTAACATGATTTCAATTTGTTTTGTTTTGACAGCTTTAGGTTTTCTCTTCAATGCATTGGTTAGACTACTGGAAGCATAGGAGCTTCCTTCTCCAGTATCGAGCAGTGCATGTGTCTTAATCCCGTCTACTTCAACCTTCACCACTGGATAAATAACTTCACTATCCCCCCCGGTGTGAGCTGTTTTCGCTATCTCATGCTCGTCTGCTTTGGGTGCATCACAAATTGACGTATGATGACGTTTATTGCAAAATCGACACTTCGAGACACTCTTACACTCAGCTGCCCTATGAGAGGGCCCTGTGCAGTTAAAGCACAGGTGTTTTGTAGCTAGAAACTTTTGCTGTCCTCGAATGTCAAAATTGTGTCACACTCAGCAGATCTATGACTCTCAGAACTACAATATACACACTTTCGAGAACTTTTACTTATCTGATATGACTTCTGTTGCGTTGAGAACTGATAACCGCCTTGTCGCCGACTTGTTTCTTCCTCCCATCATCTGGTTTCTGTGCTTCGACTGGATTCCTCCGAGTCCAATGTTGTAATGCTTCGGTTAGTTGAATATAGTCCCATTTCTCCCAGTCTGAGTCGTTCCGTACTAAATCACCCCGTATGTTTGGCAATTTGTCCAATGTCATGGCAACAGTTACATTCACAGCTTCCAATTTTTTCAATGTCTCAAGCGACTGTACACAATATGATAACTTCTCATAAAATTCATGTATCCTTTTAGGATTTGATGTTGCCGTATATGGAAGTTCGAGAATCTCCTTGACATATGTTTTTACTATCTCGCTTTCCTTACCAAATCTATCCTTGAGAATTGAAACCATCTGTTGTAACCCTCTGCAGTAAATGGAAGAGCCTCAACCGCACGTTTTGCTTTGTCGCATAGCAACTCTCTCAAATATGTGAATTTTGTTACTGGTGGTACATTTGTTTTATCAATAGTCTCTGAAAATTGTCCCCAAAATCTCTGCCAGTCTCCATACGATCCATCAAATATTGTAATTTTCAATTTCGGTAGTTTGGCTTGCAAATTTGGAATAGGAATCTCACTTGACGTCGGTTCTTTTGATGACTCTTTGTTTATTTTCTGAGCTTGTAGTTTCATCTTGGCCTCATGAAGTTCCATTTCAAAGTCTAATTTCTTTTTCTGGTCGCTATATTCACGTTTCTCTCGCGTTTCGTCCAACCACTGTTCTAAAATAGTAATTTTATCGTCACCCTCGTTTAATTTCTCCTCTATTTCACCGATCCATGTGTCAATCTCGTCGCTGTTTTCTTTAGCTGTAATTTTCTCTGCTTCGATCGTTCGTACTAGTTTATTGACTTCGTTTATTATCTCTCTCAATGTCTCGACATGTCTCTTGATAGCACTCTCTTTTGCAGCTTGTAATATCGTTTCTGTTTTGTCCCTAGCGCTTCCGAGTTGTACAAGTTTTGTCGCCAATTCAACACTTGATTTCGAGTCGTTTTCTTCTGTCATATTGCTATGTATTGTATTCGTTGTTTACATAAAAATCTCCATAAATCCCGGTCGGAGATGCCAAGTGTCCTGAATTCAAGTGTTCTGAAGTCCAGAAGTATCCAGGGCAAATCACGATAACAAAATAATAATAACTTTATAATAACTTTATAATAACTTTATAATAATAATAAAATACAAATCTCTCTCACTGATTTCTCACTGTTCCTCTCTCGCTGGTTAGTCTCGCATGCTTGTTAATCACGTGACCCATCACAAATATGTCAATGTTCGTCTTGGCGTCGTAAAGCTCCGTAATGAGCCCAGTTCGCTACACAAGTTTTTAATAATTTGCATTATTCAAAATAATGCAGGTTTATGGCGCTCGTGGCTTTAATAAAACACTCCTGCTCGGTTATTAAACCCCTTCAAACACGACTACAAATCCAATAGATTTAGTAATGCCTTATTAGTATTCTTTATATAAAGAATACTAATGAGGACACGACTACAATAGCTACTGCCTTATTAGTATTCTTTATATAAAGAATACTAATAAGGCAGTGTTTTATCAGGTTTAAGGTGGCTCCCTACAGTTTTCTAAAATTTTAAGTGTTTTAGGTAACCTTCGTTTTGAACCAAATTTATTTTGAACACCCTTAAGACAGGGCAATATATACATTTCCAGGAAAGTTTAGAAGTCTTCTGCTGTCGATATATGAACAAATAGGAACAGTGTTAGTGTTGCCATGGCAACCATGACGTTTCATCTTTTGCACTTTTATTGTTTAATTTTACAATCAAACGGCAATATCTTTTTTTTCATAATATGAAATTGGTCGAAGACCCGTACTCAGGAAATAAAATAACAACATAAAACGCTCTCTGAGTTTCCAGCGATATACATACCCTTTTCTAGATATATACCTAATAATAATAAGCGAACGAACGAATGTATTCCTTCCACTCGTGAGCTCATTTACCATTGTCACATATAGTAAATGTCCAGGCCTTGTGACCCTGGATGGGCACTTAAAAGGAAAGAATACACACACACAAAGGTTTATTTATTCAAACATTATTATTATTCATATTTCCTGATATGGTTTGTTATGATATGACGACAAGGAAATGAGTTGTGTGAGACATATTGTTATGCTAATGATAATTTGGTAGGTAGCTAACAAGAGGCATTCACTTTGGACGTTCGTTCATGCGCAGTTGTTCAATCGTTCTCTTGTAATGGTTGAATAAATAAACCTTTGTGTGTGTGTATTCTTTCCTTTTAAGTGCCCATCCAGGGTCACAAGGCCTGGACATTTACTATTTGTGACAATGGTAAATGAGCTCACGAGTGGAAGGAATACATTCGTTCGTTCGCTTATTATTATTAGGTATATATCTAGAAAAGGGTATGTATATCGCTGGAAACTCAGAGAGCGTTTTATGTTGTTATCTTTTTTTTCCTTCGGTCAATTTTTCTGAATTTTTTTTTTAAGATTTATGGTTGAAAGGGGAATGACATATTAAAATTTGAGGGGATGTTTATAAGACAGGTTTTGAGATATTCATGAAAAACGACTACAAAAAATCTGTCTTATAGAATTTCTTGAAATTTTGATATGTTTGGCGAATCGTCATGCTTAGCAAACGTGCAAAGTTAAAAAATTTTCACAGAAGGAAACGCGAGAAAAATAGTCCTAAATCCAGTTGAAGCTGTTGACGTGACAAAATATTGATTCGACATGATCACTATTTGCGTGAGGAACACGAAACGCGTACGGTTTATAGTTGGCTTTTTTTAGCAATTTTCTCTTTGAGTTTTTGACTTATATGTATCACACAGATATTTTTACTTATTTGAAATGAAAATAAAAGATATATATATATTCAATTAAAATACAAAACATTGAGAACACAATAACGCACTGACTTAATCCAACGGTTCTTAAATTTAGTTTTGTTGTAAAAATCGGTGTGAAAACTTTTCAAAACATTCAAGTAGAGTTTGACTTTTCGTATAAAACAACTCGTAACTGTCTGCATTATAGTTTTATTGGATTCAGCAGATAAAAAACTACATTTGAACTGAGTTGAATGACAGGATTTACGTAAGTTTCAGTGACAGTTCAGGAGTGCCTTAAAGACAGTATAAAATATCATTTCAGTCCGTGACACTGTTGTTGAACATTGTGAGCATTTATATTATGGAATACAGTACTGAAACGTATTAAATATATAAAAAAAAAACACACAGAAGGTAGGTAAAAAAACTAGCTAACAACATACGTACTGTTCGAATGTTGAAAAGTTTAGGATTATAATAAAAAAACTGGCGTTTTCTTTGTAGATAAAAATACAAAAACAACTTCCCGCGGCTTGTTTCAAGATTTTTACCGGACCACGAAGATTCCACGCGCGAGTCGCGAGGATTACATCTGAGCTATATAAATGTTTTAAACTGGACTATAACTGTAGGGAGCCACCTTAAAGCCACTGCATATTATGGTTGACATGATTTGCCAATAAGCTTATGAATTATTAATGAGTGTTGGAATACTAGTATAAGGTATATAAAGATTATATTGTCACATTGTCCAGTGTCCACTTTACCACTTAATATATAACATAGATTCGTTGTTGCGTACATGCATCTACTGAATACTAGCACCAGGAAATAAAAGGCATCGGAGCAGATAAAAAAATCGATTTCTGGCATTTCCAGAGTCAATAGCACAAACGTCGCATTGTTGACCTTTTAAAATTGTATTTCCGGTTGGGATTAGCTGACAGTCGGGTCATGGCTGAGTACCGGTTATAAAAGATGCAAATTTGAAGATACTGCAAGCTCGAAAATAACACTCTACACAGTGTTATTGATAATAATTCGAACAGGACTATTGCAAGACGATACGTCCAAAGGGGCGAAGTTTCGGAAGTTATGTTCGGCGAAAGGTATGGCTATAGTTTATATCAGTTTGTTCACAGTTAATAAAGTGGTTTGTTCAGACAATTGCGTAATTTGATATTGCATACAATCTCCCTTGATTTTTAATTAAAGGCCATAAATCGCTAAAATGTTGATAATGACTAAAACTATTATGAGGAATTAGTTGATATTATTTCACTGAATCGAATGGTGGTATTACTGTGTTCATAGCATACACTGAACCGAAGATATGAACATACAACGTCGTCGAGAAAGAGTTCAGACAATTGCATAATTTGATAATATACGATCTCGCGCGCTTGATCATAAATCGCTACAATGTTGATAATGACCAAAACAATAGTGCACTGAACCGAAGATATGAACATACAAAGTCGTCATCCTCTCGCGCATGATGATATATACTTGCGACTTGTCGAGAAAGAGTTCAGCCAATTGCGTAATTTGATAATATACGATCTCTCTTGACTTTCAAAGGCCATAAATCGCTACAATGTTGATAATGACTAAAACTTTTGCGCGGCACTGAACCGAAGTTATAAACATATAAAGTCGTCATCCTCTCGCGCAGTTATACGGCATTCTTCATATTGTAATCGTGTTATTGACAAAACTATTTTATGGTACTTGTGTTATTAACAAAACCATTTATAGACAACAGCGGCACTAACTGTAGATTATCGCATTTCGCTCGCAATTCTATGCTTGCAAAGCATTACATTGATACGTCATCAAATGTGGCAAAAAGTGAGATGAAATAAATCCATGCTTATTATGTCAACCTAAGAATATCATATTGCATAATATGTGTAATTTTTGCACCGTCATGTTGAATAAATTATTATTTTAGGGTATAAAAGAAGGTTGTCTGCAAGAATTGACTGATTAATATTCTGGATTATTTTTAGGGAGAACATTGTACTGACAGAGACAGTGACGGCGTGTTAAATCAAGTGGTGAAGTGGCTAGATTCAGCTCCAAGGGTGAGTTGAGATCTTTCAGCGTAAAAATTATATGTTTGTCTCTCAAACCAGCTATAGTTAAGGCCCGTTCAGCCTTTCCAACATCGCCCAGCATTGCTGTTGCAACAATGTTGGACAATGCTGCTGGAGTGAAAGTATTGAATGGTATTAGGGAGTTTACGATCTGCGACGCGGCCGGCTCAACGACGCGGTCTAAATTTTAGCTCAAGAATGAGCGCTAAGCAATTCGATTACTGTAATAAATATTTGACTCTTTCAAATAACCTTACAAAATGCTACGTTCGGCTAAAGCGATGCAAAGTTTGCTGTAATTTCAACTTTTAGTAACACCTCTTGTGTCGCATTAAGCTTTCGCGTTGCCTGAAAGACATAATAATGCTTTTTTAACGTTGTGTTGAGAATGACAACGCGGTTGACAATACTCATGGGACCACAAATTATTGACAGTTTTTGTCTTGCGTGACAAATGTCTTTGTTAGTTCTTTGTATGTTTGCATGGCGATAAAACACACAATACTATTGTTTGTGGAAACATCAAATTTCTTTGTTTTGAAAGCGCGTCGTCGAGCCGGCCTCGTCGTAGATCGTAAACTCCCTGTTGTTCAAACCGCGTATGTTACAGTGTTGGACGATGTTGGGTTGACAATATTGCCTTGAACGTACGTTTCACTTTGTAGGCTACACCCATGGAAATTTCCAAGCATACCTGATTATTATACCTTTGTGTTTAAACCTTGGACACAGCCTTGGACTAAGATATTTTGCATTTTAGTTTTAATTGACCGCTGTATAAGCGTCGAGCAAGCTAAAATGATTGTGTAACGATTTACCGGGCTACAGGGATCTAATTATAGGAAAGCAGATACTTAAAAATAATCAAAACACAGTATAGAAATGACTTGTTTTGTTTTGTTTTACTTTTCTCAACTTGATTTTGAAAATTAATTATATTAATCTTAGAGGTCAGGCGTAGATGTTGCGAATGGCGCAATTATGGAAAGCCAGTAGCTGTCTTAAGTACTCCGATGTTATTATATTCGGTACTTTTAATATTATACGCAGTCGGCTTTTAGCATTATACTCGGTGCTTCTAGCATTATACTCGGTGTTTTAGCATTATACGCGGTGCTTTTAGCATTATACTCGGTTCTTCTATCATTATAACCAAGTGCGATGCATTATGTATTACTTCGCATTTGTAATATGAGCATTGAAAATGGCGTCTTTCCCAACATGTGGAAGAAAGCTAGACTGATTCCAATCTATAAAGCTAAAACACGTACTGAGAGAAACAATTACAGGCCCATTTCTATGTTACCGATTCTATCTAAACTCCTCGAACGACATGTTGCCGACTCATATGTAAAATTCATCACAGAAAATGATATTCTATCAAGTTGCCAGCATGGTTTTCGAGCCCATCACTCTGGTGAATCTACTCTTATATTGATCTGTGAACACCTTCTCGATAACATTGAGCAAGGTTTAATTAATGGTATAGTAATAATAATAATAATAATAATAATAATAATTTACTACTTATATGGCGCAAATTAACATGCAATTGGTATGATCAAATGCGCTTTACAAACTACTTAAACGGCTAGCTATAGATTTAAAAATATAAATAAATAAAATTTAGAATATTTACAAAAACAGTTACCGCTCAAGTTCTAAAATTTATTTATACATTAAAAGCTTCCCTGAAATAGTGTGTTTTGAGAAGTGACTTAAAAGTACTAAAATTTTCCTGACTTCTTATAAAAACAGGAAGACTGTTCCATACTATTGCTGAGGCATTAGAAAATGCCCTGTCTCCTAATGTCTTTTTCGACCGAGCAGTGTTATCTTGTAGTAACTTTCCTGTATTTGATCTAAGGTTGTAACGAGGTGTCTTCTTGATGGTCACTAAACTGCTTAGATATTCGGGAGCTGTTTTGTTTATACATTTGAATGTGAGCATTGCAATTTTAAAATTTATTCTAAATTTAACTGGTAGCCAGTGTAATCTGATTAACGACGGTGTGATATGTTCATGTTTTGGAACTGAGCACACCAAGCGGGCTGCAGCATTCTGCACTCGTTGAAGCTTCATAAGATGCGTGGACGAAACACCGAATAGTAAGCTATTACAGTAGTCTATTCTTGACATGACCATGGCCTGAACAATCGTCTTTCTGTCTTCAAAGCATAAAAATCTCTTTATTCGCCTGACATTATGTAAGTGATAAATCACAGATTGACAGGTCTTATTAATTGCCGTTTTCATACTCAAAATGTTATCAAACCAGGATCCAAGATTTCGAGCATCGGATACTGACGACACCATTACCTGACCAATTCTTAACCCCGTTATCTTTATCTTATTCAGTTGTGCACGAGTTCCAATTATAATAAATTCAGTTTTATGATCATTCAGCTTGAGTTTGTCCACGGTCATCCATGTCTTAATATCAGCTATGCAGTTTTGCAATGCAGTTACCGCTTCTAATTCTATAGCTCTAATTGACCTCTCGAAAGCGTTTGACCTGGTCGATCATAGATTGCTACTGCAAAAATTAGAACAATATGGCATTACTCCAATAGCTTTAAAATGGTTTAAATCGTATCTAAATGATCGTTACCAAGTAGTACAAATTGCATCATCCCTATCCAACCCAGCTCTGATAAAGTCTGGTGTGCCTCAAGGATCTATACTAGGACCAATTCTCTTTCTTATCTTTATTAACGATTTACCCAGTTACGTTGGAAGTTCTAAGCCTTTTTTATTTGCCGATGACTCTACACTAATATCCTCCGGATCGGACCTTCACAAACTTAAGCCTGGTTCACATTGATCGTAAACATCGGCGATGCCCATTGTTGGTGGTCATTGATGCATAAAATGTTTTGTGCATTTTCTTCTTCGTTGCTCACAGACAATGGATCGTAGAACATCGCCGATCAATGTGAACCAGGCTTTAGTGTCTCTCTAAAGTCAGATATGACCTCAGTGTCCCGTTGGACTAACCATAACAAAATGTCTCTTAATCCTGGCAAGACAACTAGAAGACTTTGAAAATGCCATTTCCGATGATTTAGAGACGCACAATTTTCAAAAATTTTTCCGCTCTGTGCCAACCATGGTGGCGCTTCGTGGGAGTCGGGAACTCTAAGTTTATCAAGCTGGCTGGCTCCCTAAGTGACGGCCAAGTTGTGGTATCTACATAAACATACTATGCAAGTACTTAACTGAAGGTTCAGTCTATCTACAGCATAGTGTAATGCTGTATATTCAAAAATCTGTTTCAGAAAATGCAGGGAAATGCATTCATAGGGGTAGAAAAATACAAAAATTTTCTGGAGGAGAAAACCCCAGACCCTCTCCAGGGCCGTAGCAACCAAGGGGGGGGGGGGGGGAGGCTGGGGGGCTGCAGCCCCCCAATAATTTGCTAATAATCATTCATTTTTCAAAATCATGTAGACCTTTATTATTTAATCCATGACAAACTGCAAAGAATGAAGATATTACCCATACTTTTCTAAATTTCCGCATACTAAAAACGCTGTTTTCTGACTATCAGAAATCTGTCAAATCTTCCCCCAAAGTCCAGGAAATGGCATTTCAGAGACTCTAAATTTAAAAATTTCCTCGGGCCTTCGGCCCTTACTTTCGCCCCCCCCCCAACTAAAAGAGCTTCCTACGGCCTTGCTCTCCCCCCCCACCCCCTACTATTAAATGCGATACGACACCAAACTTTTTGTAACCAACAAACGATCTATCATTGCTCCACACTCGGTATAGTATGGTCCCTTTTTGTAGATGGCCCCCCCACTGACGAATTCTTAAAAAATGCCCTGTACATGCCCCAGATCTGCAAACAAGTTGTAAATTACTTGTAACAAGGCTGTTTGTCAAGCCGATATCAGGATTTTTTTCTGTGTTCGTTTAATGTACTCAGGTGAATTTGATGCTTGTGATGTTACTCTTAGTGTATATCCACACCGGACAAGCTTGAAAAATATGCCTGACCACGGTGGGAATCGAACCTACGACCGATATCAGGATGTTTTCGCATTGTTTGTTCCCAGTTGTTGCAACCAGTCTGGCACCAGGGCCGTACTTAGGGGGAGGGGGGCAGGGGGCAACTGCCCCTTGGCCGGAAAACTATATTTACGATTTTTAGAATGTCATTCTTAATCTTTCAATATTTGGGACTTTTTCGGCATATAGGCCTTACTGCCCCCTAGTGAAAATATCCTGTATACGTCCCTGTCTAGAACAACTAATACAAGCTGTTCGCGACAAGTTGCTACGAGCTTACTTGTCATCAACATATTAACAGCTTGTTACGTGTAGACAGTAGACGATACCAGACTTGTTGGAACAACTTGTTGGAACAACTTGTTAAATGCGTATATGTTGGCCTCGTCAAACTTGATAAAAAATGATAACTCTTTCTAGACTTGCCAGGTCTGTAAACAAGTTGCAACAAACTCTTGACAAGCTGTCGACATGCAAGTTGTGTTCACACTGCTTGTACCCAGTTGCAGGGCCTATTTTAGTGTGCAGTATTGCACACTTTGTGCAGTATTGAATAAAAAGTGTGCAGTATTGAATGTGAAAGTGTGCAGTATTGAAATTTGAAGTTTGAAATAAATTTCAACTTTGTATTAGATGTGCTGAAGGAACGAAGTAGGTGAAATATAAAGTCGAGAATTCCAAAATGCCTTTGCGACAAAATGAGCAAAGGCACAAACAAATATTGGCCAAATATATGCCAGTAATAATTCCAATATTCAATATTTTCATGTCCGGAAAAGCCGGTGTACTTCTTTCCTCCACAAGAGGGAAGAGCCTGAGAACGAGGTTGTCATTTGTGTCGCATCAGCGAATTACTACAATAGGTTATGGCTGATTTGAATTTGAAAGGGTTTACTTTTGGGGGGACAACCTGTATATTGTCATTATGTTCTATATAAAAACATAACAATTCAAAGATGACGTCACATGGTGACGTCATTGATGACACCTGCTCTAAAGTGGGCAGTATTGAAATTTCCTTAGAATAGGCCCTGCCCAGTTGTTGCAACAAGTTCGGAACAGGCTGTTAACACGAATGTTAACACTCAACTAGTAACAA